TCCCTACAGTAAATTTAATTTCAAATAAGTCTTTATTTAATGTAAAGACTTCTGGAGTTTCACTACTTAATTGTAACATGAATATCTTGGATTGTGTTCTTTAGCTTTTGTCCTTACTGTCACAAGCTTTGCTCAGCCAGGTAGTCCTGGTTTTAAATGCATTGAAATGTGTTCCATGGCTTTAGTGTTGTTCTATAGCTGGAAAATGTAATAAAACAGTAGCATTTGGCAATGATGGCTTTTTCAAACAGCCATCCAAACTCCTTTTTCCTTTTTTGGTAATTAAGTACTGATTTAGTTTTAGTACCTTAAGTTTCAAATACTAAGTTCATGTGTGTTCGGTTTTTGTTGGTTTGGTTTTTTTTTTGAAAGTGAGAAGTCAAGGCCTTTGTTGGTGTGACTGAGGAAAAGCGTGTAATACACAATTAGAGAGGCATGGCAAAGAAATGTGGGAGAAGAAAATCATTTCCACTCTTGAAATATGAGGTTTCTTTCCTCCTCCCCACCCCAAAAAATAGAGGTTTAGTATGCTCATTAAAAAGAGGTACAGAAGATGAACTTTTCCAAGGTTTTGTTTATCACCAGTAGGCCTTCTGTTTTCCCACATATTAGTAAAGATCTCAAAGAAAACCTCTGACAGAAATTAGTCATGGCATACATGTTGGAGAAGCTCACATGATCAATCTTAGTGGTAGCTATCTCAAATAAAGAAGTGGTGACAATGCTACTGTTCTCAGTGGCAGAATCTTTCTCAAAGACAAACCCGGCAAGCTTATTCTTTCCCTTCCCCTTTCTTTTTTTTTTCCCCCGTCTCTAGACCTATTTTGGGATGGATGTTTCTGCTGTTGAAGATCCTGTTCAGAGAAGAGCCCTTGAAACAATGATAAAAACATATGGGCAAACACCTCGGCAGCTGTTCCATGCAGCACATGTTAGTAGACCTGGATCCAGGCTTATCATGGAAGGAGAACTTCCTGCTGCCATGGGATTACTAGTGCAGTTTGCTTTCAGAGAGACCAGAGAGCACACTAAGGAAATAATATATCCAGTATGTGATTTTGATTTGCAAGATGGTTTAATTAATATTCATATGCTATAATTGTTGTACCCTTGGTTTACAGTTTCCTTCCTAAAACTGCAACTTGATATTGTACTGTAGAAAAAAATGAACAAAATTAGTAAGTGATTGTGAAAATTATTTTCATGCATTTGTGATATATTTTGTCAAACTAAGATCTGAGTTTATTTTGGTTATGGCAAATAGGTGTTGGAAAGCATTTCACTGAACCAGTTTAATACTTTCAGTGGTGCATGCTGGGATCTGTATGCAAACCTGTAGCAGGCAAACACATCCTGTGCTTGCTTCCATCCTCAGCTTTTTTAACTGCCTGTAGGACAGCTAAACTTTCTCCACTTCAAACCCTTCTTTTATTTTTTTCCCTTAAGTCCAGTGCAAAAGTGAATCTCTTCACTTAAAGAACTGTATTTCTCACTGAACTATAAGCTTGCTGTCTCAGTCCTTAAAGAAATAGTCTAACTCCCTCAAATAGTTTAGCTGATGATACCACAGTGCTTCATACTTGTCTTTCTAACATTTTTAGGATACTTTAGCTATCCTTGCCACATGATTGCTTGTGGGAAAGTGATATGGATGAAGTTGCTGTGGTATGAACTCCATTACTATGGAAATAATGTTTTGCTGAAAATTCTTTAATTCGAACCTTATTTGTGCTCGTTTTAGAGTCCATTACCATGGATAAAAGGCTTGAAGTGGGGAGAATACGTTGGCTCCCCAAGTGCTCCAGACCCTGTCGTCTGCTTTAGCCAACCACATGGAGAAAGGTTTGGCTCTCTCCAGGCTTTACCAACTAAAGCTATCTGTGGTTTGTCCAGCAAGTTTTGCCTTTTGATGATATATAGCAAGGAGCAAGGTATGAATTTCTGCTTATTCTCTATGTGCACAGTCCATGTGAAATGAGCCATAAAAAACCCTAGATCTAATGCTACTATTGTTCTCCAGCTAACTTCCCCAATTTAGATGCTTTTGCTAAAGATTCATTTATAAATCCATTAACAGATTCCAGGTGTGTGGTGTCTTTCCTGCAGGGTGCATTTAACTGGTAATCTTCAGAACTGCAGTAGAGGCATTCAGTAATTAAGTTGATATTTTTCATTAAAGTGACTGAAGCATGAGGATTTGACTTCAGAACTTGCCAGCAGATTGAGTCCAAGAATTGAAGAACAGATGAAATAACACATATGGCAACAGAAAGGAAAACTTAAGGAATGGTTTTGTAGAGGCAGACAATGAGGAAAGTTATGAGTATAAAGGCAGAGGATCTTCTGCTTTCAGATAAACTTCTCAGAGCGATTCTTATTGAGAATGTATGAACATTCCCATAATATCTGTTTTCTTAGTTACATGTACTAGTGAAGGTTTTTTTGAAAAATAAATAGCTTCACATTTAGTCAACAAAAATAAGTAACATCCTCTTTGAAGGTGTAAGCAATCATAGCTTATATGATATAGCTTATATTATATAGCTGGTAAGTAATGTCAACCTCTTGCCCTTTTCTCCACTCTTAGGAGATGCAACACTTCTTCAAAAAAGTTTTGTCCAAGCTGCAAACTGTCTATTGAGAAGACTGAATGTTTCCATAGTCTCTGAAAACTATATATGTTTATAATACATTTCAGATTACACAGCCTAACAGAAATCTTATTTTGAAACTTTGGGGGTTTTTATATTCTAGGATGTGGTAAAACATGAACCTGAGACTTTTACTGTTGACTACTGAAGTGATTGAGTCTGGCTGTGTATGTGACAGTGTTATATGCCTTCCTGCAGGTGTGAGAAGCATGCACAGTACTGACATTCAGTGGTCAGCTATCCTGAGCTGGGGATATGCTGATAACATTTTACGGCTGAAAAGCAAGCAAAGTGAACCTCCAGTGAATTTTATACAGAGTTCACAGCTCCATCAGGTAAAAAAAATCAGTCTCTTGGTCTTCAGTTTAATATTGGTAGTTTAAGTGGTGGCCTGACTTGGCCATAAATACTCCTGCTTTTGTTTTTCTTGGAGATCAGGAGGCAAACACCAACTGGTTTAAATCTGTTTGTTCTCCTATGCAATGTGTCCCTCATGGCTCCACTGTATCTTGTTCCTGGATGTGTTCAAAATGCATTCAGAAGATTCCTTTTGAATGCATTTGATTTTTGGAGCTTTTCCTTCCTATGGAACATTGCTGTGGGTTTTAAAAAGCTTAAGTTCTGTGCCAAGAAAAATTAATACAGAAAAAAATTTTAGATGCCTCATGTTAGAAGCAGGACTCCACGATGGTTTAGGATGCATCTGAAAAAGATTGTCTAAAAGATATTAGGGAACATGGCATAATTTCAGTCACACTCCAATGAATTAGTGAGGTTCTGCCAAAAAGATTTTGGCCAGTGATGTGTCTGTAGATCTAGATGTCTGCACTAGCTCACTGCTCTTTAGCTGTGAATTCCAGGCTACACAGGATTTCCCTCTTTACTTTGTTTTAAAAGTAATAACAAATATAACCTATATTTTAACTCCTGGATTTCTTTGGCTTAGGTATTTTACATGGCTTTTCCTAGGATAGCAAATAAAGAAGCAGTTTGACTAAATGTTACGGCATAATGAAAACAGCAGTTAGAATAGTTTTTGGTCTAATTTTTTCTGACTTTGTTTTATCTTTCCAAGGTAACAAGTTGTGCTTGGGTGCCAGACAGTTGTCAGCTGTTCACAGGTAGCAAATCTGGTGTCATCACAGCATATATGAACAGATTCACTAGCAATACGGTAAGTTACATTGGATAGGATTTATAGCTAAAGATTTAGGTGTATCCATTATTAGTCTTCTTTTAAGCAGGAGAAGTGAGAAAAGGGGACTATGGTATATTTTGGACAATTGCTGAAACAATCGTGCTTTTTTTAGTATTCATTTTTGAAGGATCCTCCTTGACATCTCAGCATGTCTGTGTGTTTTTCTTAAGCTGTTGTTCACATACTGCTATGCTTTAGTGAGTTCTCATCACCTGAGTGCATAACTGGTCACACATACAGCTGTGACTGTAGTCAGGCTAGGGCTTGGAATTGAAGCTCTGTGGCACAACAAAACTGCCTACATTAAGGAGTAACATTTTTCTGTGAAGGAGACAGAGCCTTGCAGTGCCTTAACTGAAACTGAAATACAATTCCCCAAAGTAAACAACATTTCAAATGCAGAAGACAGTTATACTACAGAGAGCCAGAATGAAATCTCAGACAGTGTATATATTAACCACCAAGCCTCTTTACTTTGTCATATTCTCTAAGGGGAAACACTGTGAGGAGGGAAGAGAGAAAAGTAACTTGCATTACTTAATGCATTAGTGGAAAATACGGAGAGACTCGTACAAGTTGCCCTGATACTGTTTGCTGATGAACCTCATATGAAAGCATAAACAGAACTCAAAATTTACTCTTCTGAGTTTCTGAACTTTCATCTGACCTTATGCAGCAGTAACTTCTATTGTTCGTAGTTCTAACAGAAAGTATGCAACTTCCCTAACAGCTCATTTCAGGTGTGTCTACAGGATTACCCATAGCAACAACTGAACTAAAGTGACTTCTCAAATTTAGCTTGATACAGGTGTTGACAAATACACTTTTAGTATTGTACTCCTTGATGCTCTTGAATCACTACATTGTGCTAGAGAGAACCTTGGTATGATCTGCTATGCCTAGCCAGTTTCCTGTTTTCAGTAGTGGCAAACAGCAGATGCTTAGACTAGGAAGAGCACAAACAGTGATTTATTTTTTTTTTAAAACTTGGCTTTCTTCCATTTTCTGGTGATCTGCCACTCAGAGCTCAGCAGCACTTTGAGTATAAAAAATGAAGTAGAGCTTGAAGCCTGCAAGCTTCAGTCAGTTGAATCTTAAGTCAGACACCTTAACTGCTCAACAGAATAGTGAACTTGTAAATAACCTGTACTGAGACTTGGATTCCAGTTAAAATTTTTTAAAAATAGAAATTCAATATACTTGCCTTCTGCAAAGCTGAAAATAAACTAGTTGGGTTATGATTCTTGGGTTCCCTCAATTTCCTAGAAACAAGTGATTTTTTTTTTTGTTCAGATGCAGAGATGTTGCTATCTTTGTGACCATCTCTGCTCAGTTTCTCAGCACTGACAGTTTTACATGCCCCAGGCAGACTGACCTTGTGCCAGTTTTGTAGCTCCTGTTGTTGAGTCAGTTACCCAAGTCAGGGCTGGAGGGAATGCAAATGTGCTTCCTAGCATCTGTTCTGTATCCATCTTGTCAGCTGATCAGTGATAAAGTGAACAGCCTGTTATAATGCAGTACTTGAAACATGAATATTTTGTCCTGTTTCACGTTTGTATAATGCAATGCATAGGCATGAAGCAGATACCATGTTGTTGACTGGATGTGGGAATGCAAAGGCATCTGTCAGAATTCAAAAATGCCTCCATGTTGTGCTTCAGATGCAAAAGCCAATCAAGTCAAAACCCAACAAAGTACTTCTTTGAAACTAATCTATGTTGACAACAATTCATGCCTTCATGAAAAACCTCAGCCACAGGTTTCTGGCTGTACAAATTACTCCAGCCTTCTCCTGCTGACTGTTAGAGTTGTCCTGCAAATAGGAAGAGCACTTCGGTGATCTGTTTGAGTAAGACTGGGAAGTAATCATTTAAATTCTCCACTCAAGTGCTCTAGGTGATCATTTGGTGCAACCAACAGAAGGAGCTGCTGTTTAAAGGTAGACACACTCCTGCATGTTTTCCCACATCTAGATACTGGTTTAGTGGTGTCATCTAAAAGCAAGTGGGAAGTGAACGGGGATAGCTACTTAATGCCTGAAATGCTATTTCATAACTTAGTACAGTTGGTGTTAAAATTCCAACTTGTCTCATTGCAGTATTATTACAATGAGAGACAAGAAACTGTTGCTATTCCTACTGTAGAGAGAAGCTGCTAAAGGTGAATCTTGCTTTTAGTTCAAGCGCTGAAACGCAGAGCAAGATAAGACAGTTAAAGGAGGTGGGAGGAGCATAGGAAAAGGGTTATCAAAATCAGTTCTTCATAAAGTTGTTTGTTGCTGTTACAGAAAATTTCAGTGCAATTTTTTTCTCTAAACAGAGTAAGTATTAAAGAAGGATTTTCATATGTGAGATAGCACACTGTTCTGACCATGACAACTGGGCACCTTCATCTTAATTGGATGAGATGCTCAGTAGCAAGAGGAAACTAGCAGGTCTTCCTGTTGTCAAAAAGTGTATTGCCTATTGCACTGTTACATAGACTATATTGTCCTTTTTAGTGCAGAAAGGCACATAAATTTTTTACAGCCTGTGAGTTAAGCATATGTATGTTTTTGTCTTGTCTGTTTCAACTTTCAGGGTTTGTCTGTTGACCTGCTTTATGCATCCTGTACCCTCATACAAAAATGCAGATGATGTGCTCTGACATGTGTGAGCAAACAAGCAGAAAAACGTTCCATTCTTTTGAAAAAGATTATTCTAACCTCTGTACAGCAAGTTGTCTTAAATGAAGCATTAGTATTCTGATTAAGCAGCTCCTTCGACTCAGCCAGTTTTCAGGAAGTCTGAATCATTTCAAATTATATAACTTGAGTAAGAAATGTTGCTTGGTGTTAAATTTGTTGCTTTAATTTTTATCTAGCAGTTTCTATATTTAAACTTGACTTCCTGCATGTTTTTCCAAGTTGGTATCACTGAGGAACGTGGCACCAACTTGAGGAATTCCCAGTCATTTACTGTACAGAGGACGACAGCTTCTGAGCTGGGGTTTCTTTTTGTTTCCAGGTGCTTCCATTGGATGCTAAAATATTGAGAACTGTCATTTCACTGCTATGTGGAAATAGCAGTCTTGCAGAAAAGAAATCAGGTGTATAAATGAGACAGTACAGTGGTTCTTCATTTTATTTCATTGGAACACATCAAAATGTTTACTTAGACTAAGACACTGGTAGGAAAAGTTGAACATTAATGATATCTGTGGCTTATCCCATTATAAGGCATTAAACATAATAAAGCATTACTGTCAGTTGCTAAACTGATGACATTAAGAGCAATGGGAACCATTCTTGAAATCTGAGGATTAAGACTTGTCTGTAGGCTTGTCCTTCTTAGAAAGTGAGACATTAATTTTCTTTTTCATGAGAGTTCCTGTTTTATCTTGCTGTTTTTCAGCCTTCAGAGATAGAAATGGAGTCACAAGTCCATCTGTATGGACACACAGCAGAAATAACAAGCTTGTTTGTGTGCAAACCATACAGTATAATGATAAGTGTCAGCAAAGATGGAACCTGCATAATATGGGATTTGAACAGGTACAAGTGCATGTGTAACTCTTTCCAGTAGCTCTCTTATAAATACTTTTTCCAGCTTTTGGGTATTGTTGCCCTTTTCAAGTTAATTGATTTTTATTTTTTTTTTGTCTAGATTTTATTGTGAAGTCAAACCCTTACTGGTTTTTCCTGTGAAAGGTGCTGAATTTCTACCCTGAATATGAAAAATACCATAATTGTTGCTTGAAATGAATATAACACTTTTAAATATTTTCTTCAAAGAACCTTTTCTGTGTTTGAGCCTGAAATTTAGGCTTGTTCCCTTTGTTTTCTTCAGGCTGTGCTATGTCCAGAGTCTGGCTGGACACAAGAGTCCTGTGACTGCCGTTTCAGCTAGTGAAACAACTGGTGACATCGCAACAGTTTGTGATTCAGGTATAGTTGTCAGTCAAGAAAGGCGTTTTGACTTGAAGGCCAAATAAATCATGAGACTTGTTATTAAATTAGTTACTGAGTGTGTATTAACCATCTCAGGATGCACTTGGTCAAAGAGGAGCACAGTTTCTCAACACGGGAATATACAATTTCTCCAGAAATGATTAGGCAGGTGCTTGAGTAAAATGTAGAGATATAAAAGCTAACAGCTTGATCTCTTTATAAAAGGACTTGAAATTTCAGCAGATTCCTGGGATACCATTATTCTGTGAAGTTAGCTGCTTTCATTTTAACAGAGATTTATTGTCAATGGTTTCTTTCAGGGGAGTGCAGTAAATTACGGAGCACGGGCTGTAGTATTAAAGGACAAAGGGAAATTATTCTGGCAGTTTCAGAAACCTAATACTTATATTTTAAACGGACATGGAGACTTCCAACTCCCGTTTCTGTAGCTCACAAACCATTTTTTTTCTGGAAAAAAGAGTATTCTTTAATTGGTAAGGGACATGAGTTTCAATTCCTTTTAAGACAAAGCATTAATTAGACTCTTTGACAGAGTCAAATAATGCCAGACAACCAGGTAAAAGAACTGTGCTTGCTAAGTATTTTGCTTAAAATGCAAGCCAAGGTGCAAGAACCAGCTGTTGGGAGTAGATAGTGTGAGTTCCATCTTAGTGCCTTCCCTGGTACTACATGGAAATTGGTCATTAAAAGTAAGTTCACTTAGCACTTTGTAAGTAAAATGTTCCATAAATATGAGGTGATGTCTCTTAAATCACTGCAGGGGCTTGGTGTTTTGCATTGTTCCCTGTCACAGAAAGAGGGAAGAAGTAATTGTTTACTGCAGCACACATCACTCAGTCATTTAAACCTTACGATCCTTCAAGAAGTTGAATTATTTGCAACAGAATATTTATGTATTATAAACAACTGTGGTCTGGATTTATATTTCTAATACTCCCATGCTATGTTCTGTTGCAGTTGGAGGAGGCAGTGATTTGAGACTTTGGACAGTTAATGGTGATCTCGTGGGACATGTGCACTGCAGGGAAAGTATTTGCTCTGTTGCCTTCTCTAACCAGCCTGAAGGTGTGTCTGTCAACGTGATTGCAGGGGGCCTTGAAAATGGAGTTGTAAGGTAAGCGTTTGAAACGTTTATTTATTACAATGCTCTCTAACTTAGGCTCCGAGTTTGAGAGCATGCAGCCAGACATCACGCTGATACTTGGCTTTAAAGGAAGTAGACAAGCTGTTACTCAGTTTCCTATCTTAGTAGTTGCTAAATAGGTTATATTTATCACTGAAATATTTGTAAAATTAAGTGTGAAGAAAAATGGCTCTTTCTTTCAGACTGTGGAGTACGTGGGACTTGAAGCCAGTACGAGAAATTACGTTTTCGAAGTCAGCCAAACCTATTGTAAGGTAAAAAGATCTCAAGTATACAACAAATGGATTTTTGTCTTTGGAGGGAAAAAAACACCCCACAAACAAAACCACAACAAGTTTGTCTTGATTGTTGAACATGCATTTGACATGAAAACAGGAGGTAAACACCCAAGTCTAAGAAGAGCAATGCAAACCTACTAATTATTCATGAAAGCAAAATGAGCACAAGTGTACGGTATTTGTAATGACAGTAATAACAAGGTTCTGCTGCTGGCAGATAGAAATTAGCAGGATTCCCTTGAGAACTGAACAATAGCTACTCTTCTTACTCGTAAATTTAATTTTTTTCCCCACAATCTGTGTTAAAATGAAATAATCTTAACTTTGTCAGACTCAAATAGTGTTTCTTCCTCAGAAATAAATGAAAACACTGCGTTTTCCCTCACCATTTTTTTTTTCTGTTGCTGGAGTGAAATGGTGGAGAAAAGGGATAAACTCAGAGGAGCCTTGTAGCTGCCATTTTGGAGTGCTTGTGTAGTTCATTTTCTCCAAGTCCCCTTGATTTATATAAGAAGAATTGTTCTTATGCCAAAGTGTTTTCAGAACACAGTCAAAGGATCGAGCCTTTGATATCCCCAGTGGTACAGCAGTCTGCACAGAGGTCTCAAGAGTTATGCCAAAATTTTATCAGCTTATTGTTAGCATAGTAACAAGTCATTCTAAAAAATTTGCTTTGACCCTTGCTGAAATATCATTTAAAATCCAAATGACCATTTCATTTAAGAAATGAAAAAGGTTGTCTGAACCTCCTGTAAGAAGCATACTTCACAAAGCTTGTTGTAATGATTCGGTAGCTATTGAATAATTTAGTTTCTGCTTAAATGCAACAGAAAATGGATGCTGACCTTCACACTCTCTGCCATTACCCATGGCATCACCAAAGGGCTTTACTAGACCTGCTGTAGCTCAAGAAATGTCCATCTGAACAAAAGCCCTGTGCTGTGCCATTAAATCTGATGGATTTAGTTTCTGCCTTTGTCAGCAAGGAAGTTCAGAGGGCACAGAGTCCTGTTGCTGAGAAGCCTTCCTTTCCAAAACAGAAGGGGCAGCCCAGAGAGAGGATAGGATGCTGCTACTGCTCCTGCCCTGTTCTTTGATACTGCAAAGAAATGAGTGGTAAGCTGCAGAGGATGCTGAAGTGCTGTAGTTCAGCCTGTTTGGTTACAAGAATGAATAAGGAGGTATATGCAGACATATTGCTGTGTTCATGTATTTGTTGGGTCTCCCCTGACAGCTACTCTTTGTTGGCTAAACTCCTCTTAGGGGTTTTTACTGTCTTCTAGCGTTTTAAATATCCACATTTGATGTGAAAACTGGCCATCTTCTTGTTTTTCAGCCTTACATTTTCCTGCGATGGTCATCACTTGTTCACAGCCAACAGTGATGGAAATGTTATCGCTTGGTGTCGCAAGGACCAGCAGCGCTTGAAGCTACCCATGTTCTACTCATTCCTCAGCAGCTATGCAGCTGGGTGATGACTAGTATTGCTGCTAATTCATGTCTCTGATGCACTTTAAATCCAAAATCGATTCTAGAATCTCTTATTTAACTGGATTTTGAAGTACTTTGAATGTCTCTAGAATGACTGAATAGATTATTTTTTTTAAAAAAAGAACAGTCTAAGGTGGTTGTAAAACTGCATATGTGCATGCACAAACTTGAAGCATATCCAGGTGAGCAGGAAGCTCTGGTCATATTGTCCAATACCAGCAAAGGGACTCATAAATGCTCTAACATACAAGTCAAAATGCTGCAATATAAAACACAACAGTATTTTTTTAAATCACTTCTTGGACAGAGGTATTTAAAAAAATTTGAGAATGCTTATTCCCCTTCTTAGGTTGTAAAATATCAGCAGCATCAAGTTCTGTAAATACCTGTTAAAATGTCAGTGTCTGTATATCTGATTAGTTCAGTGTGGTATGGTTAGCTCTGGGATAAGCAACCCAAAACTTAAAAATCAAAGACCACTTAAAATTGCTTTTTTAAGAAGCAAAGAACTTAGTAGGTGCTTTTTGCACCATCTTATGGTATTGTAATGCTAAAAATTGAATTTCTGTTATCTTTATATTCGTAATTTTTGCCGTCTTCTCTGTGAGTACAATAGTCTTTGCAACAGACAAAAACATTTGTCTTACTGATGGGTAGACACCTCATGGCATTATGAAACGATGGTTAGATCATGTTGGGTTTGGTTTCAATGTAGTGTTAACTCCCTAACTATTGCAACTCTGCGACAGAATATCCATCATATACACACACAGCTTATCTTCCAGAGCTCTAAAAAGAGGTGTTCAAGAAGGCACAGATGTGTTCCTGTTCTCGTGTCATTGAGGTTCAGTACACTGTAAAATGTTTGAATTTAGCTGGTTGAATAATCAATGTTCATAGGCATCAGATGATTTGGAAGAGTTCACACTGTACACATTTGTTATCTATTCCTAGGTGCTATTTTTTGAGGGGAAGAAAATAAGCCTCCATTGTGAAGGGCTTAACAAATTTTAATTCTTAGGCCAGATGAGAAATTAATATTTCAGTTGATGGATTTGAAGACTTCTAAACCTGACACCATGAATGAGTGCCTACTAGTCATGTGAATGGTAAACCAAGAATGCAACAGAAGTCCCATCAAGTTACATTTTTCTTTTCAATTGCTTTGTTTTTTCATCACTGACATGTTCTGCTGTTGCCATACAGTCAAAACTTCTCTACCTTTTCATGCTTAAGGTTCATCTGCTTTCAAAACACTGCATACAAAATTGTCAAGTTGTGACGAAGGTGACACACACCCAGGAAATCTTTACACCTCTTTTGAAACTTCCAAGCAGTCTTCAGAAATTCTTGCAACTTCCTGGTTGAAGAACTTTGCAAACTAGATAAACTTAAGAAAAATGTTCTCATAGTCCATGACACAAGTCTCATCATCAGCTCAACTTAGCAAGTGGCTACATACTGTAAAAGAATTGAGTTTTGAACCGTGTATATTGTAGCAGCATTGTATGGGATGGCTTTAGTCATGTTTTTCTCTGTCTAAATGTTAATGTAAGGTCCAAATACAGACTGAAAAGCTTCCTGGCTCATGTTGAAGTGATGTGCTTTGTTTAAGACAAAAAAAGGCAACCATTGTGGTTTTGGGGTGCTTTGTGCTCCCTGGTTTAGGGTGTTGCTCACAAAGGCTTATTTTTTATAAAGTAGAATTCCACTTGTTACAAACCAATATGCAAAATTGCTGGCCTTGTAAAGAGTGCAATATTATATATTTTTATGTAAAATAAAAATAATTTTTTGAAGCAAGGAGTATTTATTCAGCTTAACATCCTGAAAATAAAAATAATTTTTTGAAGCAAGGAATATTTATTCATCTTAACATCCTGGAACTATTAAAATTACATTGCAATAGTGTCTGTGCATGATGTACTGAAATTTCCTGTAAATGTCACATTCCACACTGCCTCTTGTATATACATTGTCACATTGTTGGGTAATAAACAGATCTTTGTACCAAACTGTTTTCATATGATTAGAAACATGGTTTTGGCTTAGTTTCACCTTTCTTCTTTTAGGGATCTTTCACACCCTGCTCCAGATCAATTTCTGCTGGTTCTCATGTCTTTTCATATTTTAAAAATCATGAGGTAGGGAAGTTCTGTTTATGGGCTACATCATGTGGCTGTCAAACTGAAGGTGGGAAGTGTAAGATGGGAAGGAGGACACTCTAGGCATGTAACTTTGCACGTGTGTGCACGTGTCCTTCCTTCCCAGGGGATGCAGGGCTACAATTTGGATGAAATGATGGCTCTCAAAGCAGAGACATTCCCCTTCCTTCCAGCTGCCTCCTCCTTGAAAACCTTGACTGAGCTGCAAAGGCACAGAAAAGCAACTCCTCTCTGGATTCCCTGAGAGATGGGTGGAAACTGGGAGACTGGAATGTCTGGGGGGCATCAGACAGGATGCAAGGCTCTCTTTGCTGGAAGACAGAGTTAGGGAAAGGTTCATGTGGCAAGGCCTAGCTCCCTGACACCACTTGCAGCATTCTGTGGTAAACCCAGACCTTCATGTTCTGATGCTGGAGAGACCTGCTGAGAAAGGGAAGGGGAGGCCCTAGCTGGATATTCGCGTGTGGTGGGGAGAGGGAGGCTCCAAACCATTACTGGAAAACAGATGATCTTGGGTTTAAAGATCTACTTCTAGACAGAGCCATGACAATGAATAGGACAAACAAAAAGTCAGTAGAGAACTGTAAATCTGTGAACTGAATTAGACAAGATAATTTTCTGGAGGAAAAATGGTTTCTGTGAGAAATTAAAAATACCTTTCATCTTTAAGGATTATCATTTTAAACCACATCAGTCTGTCTTGAAAGAGTTCATCATACTGAGCAAGAGTAATGCTTTCTGGATTTCTTGACTACAATTGTGGGATTCGAGATGCAGTTTGTAGAGGTAACTTTAGAGACCACTGGGGGAAACATCACATGGCTTGCTACTAACAAACCTTTCAGTTTCTTCATTATATTTGTTTAAAGCTGTATTGGATATTTTTTCCTTCTTTTATATGCAAACAATTTCCACTTTTATATACTGCTATTTATCGCTAGAAAATATTACAAACCCAAATATTCTTTAAAAGCTCTGCTTGCCTTGAGAAATATCCGCTGGAATGTTAGTTAAGCCTCTATATGTACAGACAGCAATTTTCCTTTGCTACTGTAGTAAGTTACAAACTAATGACAAAGGCCCTCTGTGTAGAGATTTGTTTGCCATTACTGCTCTGGAGTAGCAGCAGTGAGCAACTGATTTTGCATCTGGATTTCTGTCATAGGCTCTGTTGTGTATTTCACAATTTGGGCAGGTCACTTTTGGAAAAGGATTAAAAATCATATGTGACTGCTCTGATTTGACTTACAGGATTACCCAGCAGAAAGCAGGTGAGTAAAAACAGGAGCTTGCTCACAGTTTCCAGCTTTGAGCTAGCATTTCCAGAAAAAAAAAATTAAAAATCCTGATTCTCTAATGCAGTTGACTAAAGCCCATAAAAGCCTCATTAAGGGCTGGTTCATGTAAATTCAGTGAACAGAAATTCATGCTGCCTGTATGGGTATTGTTTTCAGAGCCCATAGGCCAACTCTGGTACAACACTCCTGTCTGTATAATACAGCATGAAAATACTGTTTAATACAGCCATTCCTCACCCTTTTATTTTAGCTTAATAAAACTGTTAGAATCTAATGGTAAAATTATGGTGTAAATGAGTGATGACTGATTATCAGACCCATCTAGCACATGCTCTTTGCCTCCAAGCACCTAAATCCTTTGGGAAACGGAGCCTTTTGTAGCGTGATGATGTGGTTGGACCTGGATGAACCAGCAGCACACAGGCCAGTGAAGTTTCTGATCACTTTCTGGAACGCTAGGTAAGGCAAGCTTATGAACTTAACTATTTACATTCAGTAACGTTTACCTTCTTCCTGCTGCGTTTCCTTCTCCCGAGCCACCATCCCAAAAGCCATTCAGGCTTAGAAGAGGCTGCTCTTACTCCAAAGCACCTTTAAAAATGGGGCTCTTCCCTGTTCTCTTTCATGCGGAAAATAAACGTGGCTCAAAAATGCTTCTGTCCTATTGTGATGGAATGAGAAAAAGCGTTGGTGGCGGGGGAGGAGAAACGGGTGACCAATCTTCACCTCTCCAGAGGGAGCAGCCA